CCACAACTCCAGCCACCATATTTCTCTTTTAAATGACCAAAGAAAATGTTACTTTCCTAAAATTATACAGCCTAGCCTAGACTTGATAAAGGCATTGGACCTTAAACAAGTGTTGTTTTATTTACACATAATCCTGTTGCTCATACACTTGGTGGTTCATCATCTCCAATGAGACAAAGCTTATGTATTAATTTAAAAGCAATATTTTTGATATGCATTAGGTTCTAGGGAGAGAGTGGTAAAAATGTCATCCAAAGCATTAAAAATGGCAAATTCAACTCGTGATAAAGAGGTAGATTCTTGATAGATGTTTATCTATTTTACTAACACTTTCAAAGAACCATATTTTGAGTTTGTTGATTCTTTTTTGTCACTATTAATACTGTTTTATTATCTATTGTACATTTATTATTTTCTTTATTTTCTTTTTAGATATATATAACAGTAGAGTATATTTTCACATATTTATACAAGCATGGAGTATAATTTATTCTAATTAGGATCCCAGTCTTGTGGTTGTACTTGATATGAAGATTCATTGTAGTGTATTCATATATGTACATAGGAAAATTGTGTCAGATTCATTGTTTTCAAGTTCTTTGAGTTGACTCTGTTGTACTTTTTCAAACATCAAATTTGACTACTAATTCAATTTTCATCCTTTTTTGGGGGGACTGGGGATTGAACTCAAGGGCACTCAGCCATTGAGCCATATCCCCAGCCCTATTTTGTATTTTATTTAAAGATAGGGTCTCACTGATTTGCTTAGTGCCTTGCTATTGCTAAGGTTGGTTTTGAACTTGCAATCCTTCTGCCTCAGCCTCCCAAGCCACTGGAATTACAGGTGTGCACCACCATGCCTGGCCAAATTTCATTCTTAAGTCCTAAATTACAGTAAACAATTTTGTAAAATGTTTTTAGTTGTATATGGACTCAATGCCTTTATTTGTTTTTATGTGGTACTAGGATCAAACTCAGTGCCTCACACTTGCGAGGCAAGTGCTCTACCACTGAGCTACAACTCCAGCCCTACAATAAACAATTTTAAGATAATTTTATGTGCCAGTTTAGCTTCCTCCACAATCTCAAATGTGGTGTTTTTATTGTTATTCATTTCCAGATATTTTAGTCTTTATTATGTCTTCTGTGAATCATAAATTATGTAGAATTTTTAGTGTTATGTTTCTATATGTATAGGGATTGGTTGCCATGTTTTTATTGATGTCTAACTTTATCATATAGTTATCAGCACATGTGTACTATGCATTTTATTTTTTAGACTTTCTTTGGGATCTATATATAGATGGTTGAAACTGTTACATGAATGCATATCCTCTAAATGATACATGCATATGTTTTCCAAATAAACCTTGTTAGCTGTGTTTTCATATCCTTATTTGTGGCTTGTCCATAAAATTTATCAATTTCTGGAGAGGGGCCTGAGTGAAAATCTCATAGTTATAATTATAGATTTGTCTATTTTCCTTTGTTTCTCTGTGTTCTGAGCTTACATTACTATAGCAGTCTATTACATTCTCCTATATTTTGATTTTTCTCATATGAATTATTGATTTCTTAAAGCACAAATTTGAGAGCATTGTTCTTCTGCACAGAATTCATCAAGGGTGTGCTATTTGCCAATATACCACTCTTTAATACTTTTGTGTGATTTCATTGTTTAGGTTTGATTCTATATCACCAACTTTATTTTTCCATTTCTCATGAAATTTCTGCATGATTTGCTCTTTGCTCACACCAATCTCATCCTTACTCCATACTGTTCTTACATATAGGGATGCTCTCCTCTTCATTTATGTAATTACTAACTATTCCTTAAGGACATTTTTTTTCAACCAAACCTTTCTATTTATCCTAACCTGTACTTATCACTCCTTTCTCAGACTCCCAGAGAACTAAAGTCTGAAAGATATTTGATCATTCTGTATTCTTAATTAGAGTAGAATCATTAAGGGAAAAGTTCAATTTTATTTATTACAGGTAAAGCACATAGTAGGAATGTAATCATTTATGCAGCAACATAAATGGAGAAGTTGATGTTGATCTACAAACTAAGTAAAGTGAAAATCAAGACTGAATATACAGTTATTTGAAAGACAAGGCATGGCAGCTTAGTTGGGTTTAGGTATGAAAACCCAGTTAATCTTATTTTTAGTGGATAAAATTTCTCAGTGTATTAATCTTAGGCCAATGAAATGAAAGCTTTTGCCATTCTAATAAAAGAGACTGAAACAAATAGCAAGAAAATCCCAGCTGCTGAGCCATACATGAAACATATTTAAAGAGTGTAGATATTACATTTCCTATTTACAATTCCTAATTATATTTGACCTGGGTCCAAACCAAGAATAAAATTATAAGAAAGGATAGTTATTTACCCTTCTTTTTATGAAAAATACCAAGTAAATTTAGGTGGAATTTCCAAAATTTAGTTGCTGGTTCAATTTGTTTCCTGACACTTCATTACATGCGTCTGTACACATGGAAATTTTTCTGTACCACAATCACCAACCAATGTCTTATTAAGATATGGTATTCTTTGTAAATCACAGGAAGAGTATCTCACTACTATTTTTCCATAGTTTTATTTGAAATATCTCAAATATATAGTACAGAAGCTCATCCACTGAAAAGACCATAATGTGGACTATGCCGTTATAATCAATGTCTCATTATCTGAGAGAGATATTTCACAGAAAATCTTACTTTCAACTACTTAAAAGATTCTAACTGATGTAAATATGGTTTTAAGATATTTTATACAATCACCTCTTTTTACTGAATCCTAGAAAATTAGGTCTGTAATTCAACTTGGACACCAATCAGGGTTCTTTCTGTGTGTTTATTCCAAGAGCTGATTGATTTGAGGGAAAGGTTACTTATTCTCTGCTCCATATTTCCATGTGGAAGCCCTTCCTTAGTGTAATACTCCTGATCTTTGTCCTAATCAAAAGGAAGAGTGGATTAACTCATTGGTGAGCCTGAGAGAATAAACTAAATGAATATATTTAAATCCTTTCTTGCAGCACTGGGATCTACAGTTCCACTAAGAAAATGCATTTCAAGGTTATGTATGTATCATGAGGCAAATGGTATGCTCCTGCACAGTGAGATCTGAGATTCTCCAGCTGTGCTGTTGACATCAGAGCTCACGCTCTTAACCATTATTTGCACTGTTTATAAACTCAGTCTTACCCTTAAGTGAATTTTTCCAAGGTCATGAAGATATTTAACATTAAAATTGAAATTTTAACAAAGGTTTTTTGGACACTAAGGATAATTTTTAAAAATCACTATATTCATTCAAATTAATATTAAATTTTCATAATGGAAAATTCTGCTTCTGAACAATATAGAATGATAGTAACCAGATTTGCCCTCCCTCCTCAAATAATAACAATAAAAATTTAAACAGAAAAATACATGAAACAATTGGATTTTAACACAGCATCTATCAAGCAAGCAAGATAGTGATTCTAGAGAGAAGGGAAAATCAAATCAACTGAGTACTATGATTACCTCCGATTCTTTCCTTCCGTTTCTAGGCTGATGTTCAGGATAAAATAATCCAGGTGGAGTAACCTCAGCATACTTGAGGTAATGGAAATGGAGCTGAAAGTCAAGGGATAACAAGGTGACTAGAGTTCACAGGATAGAGTACCACAGAGAAAAGAGCAACCCACTCTCAAAACATGTGTGATTTGCAAAGAATTCACTATAGTAGTTGGCTCAGGGAAACAGATAAGTGAAAGGGAACTATATATAAAGTAATTTAAAAAAAATTTAAAAATGAAAAGAGTAAAAATAAAAGAATATGCAACAAAACTGTAATATACTATTCAGACATCCCAGTCCTCAATAAAATGATGCGTGAAAGATATTTGCTTTCAAAAATGGTAGAAATGTGTGTGGAAAAAAATGAAAGAAAAAAAAGAATTAAAAAAAGAGAACTTGAGGTGATGGGAAGGGAGGGGAGGGGAAGGGGGGATAAGAAGGGCAGCAGAATAAAATAGACACTAGTATCGCTGTATGTATAAACGTGGCTGTATAACCAATGTGATTCTGCAACCTGTACACGTGGAAAAATGATAAATTATACCCCATTTGATTAAAATGTATGATATATCAAGATCATTGTATTGTCATGAGCAACTAATAAAAAAATTGAAAATTTCTGTTGCAGTTCAAAAGTTTCTCCCCTTCCCTTCTCAGCAGGTAGGTGGGGTTGTCTGGTGTATGATGCTTGCTCCACTCTCAGGATGGGTGGGGGTTCTAGGTATGCTCAGGTCTCTTTCCTGGGTGCCAACTGGTCTGGAAATTTTAAGTCAGTGCACCTTCAGGGCCCAACAATTGCCAGTACACTGTAGAAGACTGCCACCCCACACACACTGGAATCTCTTAGGGTTTGGGTTCCATTTGTGTGGTGTGGGAATCTATTCTTGGCCCCTCATATCACCTGCAAACCTGATGATTTCTGGTCTCTGATTTAGTCTCCAAAGTCAATCTCTCTCACCCTGGCCCTTTTGGATTCCCAGTCAAGTGCTTTTCTCCCAGATCATCCTGAGGCCTGGGCACCAGGACCTGTGCACCTGTCTCAGAGCTGTGTGCTGGATCTAGAGAGTCTGGCAGCCAAAAGGAATGTGGAGCCCAGCCACGTCTGGGGCTGAACTGTTCTGTGTCTGGTGGACCAGAGCCAGGCACTGAGACCCATGGGCCAGTAAAGCTCCATGTGATGGGACAAGTTGGGGGCTAGGGAGGAGTTTGGAGACTGTGGACTGGGGAGCTAGAGGGCCCTGTTGGGTCCCAAACTGATGCCAGACATGGCAGGTCCAGGAGACTGGTAAATGCCGGACTCAGGAGGGAGTCAGGGACCAGGGTGGTACTGGGACATGGCCGGTACCGGGACATGGCCAGTGCCAGCCCAAGTGAGTTGCGGGAGCCCGGTGGGCTCAGACCCACTGGTTGGTCGAGCTGAGAATAAAATGCCCTCCCACCCTCTTCCAACTTTCTGACCCACTGTAGCCAGCCTCAGGACTCACAGAGCTGAGGAAAGCCAGGCTCTCTTTAGCCTCTCTAATCTGTGCTCCCTGGGTGAAATGCTCCCAGTGTCTGACATGTCACAGGATTGTGAGAATCAAACCAAATGCAAACTCACAGATCTGGGTTTCAGTTTCTGAAGGCTCCTTCACACTGTAGTCCTAAGAATGCTCCTGGATCATGAAGGATTAATAAAATCTGGTGGAGAGTTTTGGTCATTTTTTTTTTTTTTTTTAATATTCAATTAATGCGTCAAGCAGTCTGTGGTTCAGCCAGGGCAAACTGCTCCTCCTGTCTCAGGATTTTTCACTCTAAGCCTCAGGGAGATGTGGCATTCCCACTGTTTGAGTTCTGGGTGGCTTAGCTAAGGGAACTGCTGCCTCACACTAAGCCTCTATCTTTCCCCTCAGAAAAACCAAACTCTTAACCAGGCTCTGACCCCGCAGGCCAGCAGCAGCTGTGTATAGCACGTGGGTCTGAGGAGAGAGCACTTGGCCTTGGCCAACTGTGGCCAGACCTTTGGGAAGCCTGCCCTTAGGAGAGGCGGGGTGTTATGGTGTGGAGATGAGGTGTCCCCCAAACCTCAGGAGAGAGAACACAAGAAGGTTGGAAGAGAAATGATTGGGTTATAGCCTTAACCTAGTCAGTGAATTAATCCCTGGTGGAATTAACTGAGTGGGAACTGGAGGCAGGTGGAGCGTGGCTGGAGGAGGCGGGAATTGGGCGTGGCCTTGGGGTATATATTTGTATGTGGCAAGTGCAGACCTTGCTCTGGCTTCTGGTCATGGAGAGCTGCTTCCCTCCACCACCTTCTTCCCCCATGATGTTCCTCCTCATCTGAAGCCCCCAGGAATATAGCCAGCCTTCTACTGACAAGACTTCTCATACCGTGAGCCCTCAAACTTTTCCTCTTCTAAAAATTTTTCTTGTTGGGCCTAATTGCAACAGGAAAAAACCTGACTATAATTCAGGGGTCTCTCCTTGGTTCTAGGGACCAGCGGGCTGCTTGGCATTCCCGGGCTCCGAGTTGCATAAAGCTGTTTTCATCCCTGACTGGGATTAGCTGCTTTCCATTTTGCTTTGGCTGAAGCAGGTGGGTGGAAGTACAGGATGGCAGTGGCTCTGCGTTGGTGGCATCTGCGGGTGGCTGTCGTGTGCTCCAATAACCAGAACCGGAGCATGGAGGCGCACCGCCTCCTCAGCAAACGAGGATTCAATGTCAGGTCCTTTGGAACAGGAGCTCACGTGAGGCTTCCAGGACCAGCACCTGGCAAGCAAAATGTTTATGATTTCAGAACCACATATGATGAGATGTTCCACGATCTTCTTAGGAAGGATGAAAACTTCTATGCACAGAATGGCATTTTATATATGTTAGACAGAAATAGGAGAATCAAGCCCCGGCCAGAAAGGTTCCAGGACTGTAAAGATGAGTTTGATTTGATCTTCACATGTAAAGAGCTAGTCTACGACCAGGTGGTGGAAGTTCTTAATTCCAGAGAACAGGTAACCTGCCAGCCAGTGCACGTGATCAACGTGGACATCGTGGACAACCATAGAGAGGCCACCCGGGGAGCTCTCATTATCTGTGAGATCTGCCAGTGTATCCAGCACTTGAGTGACATGGAGAATGACATCGATAGCATGCTGCAAGATTTTGAGAAGAAGACAGGCAAGGCTTTCCTGCACACTGTCTGCTTTTACTAAAGATAGATGCCTCACGCCATCCAAAGCCACCTTCTTGAACTTTCTTTCTTTGGGGGGGGGGGGGTACTGGGGATTGAACTTGGGGGCACTTGACTACTGAACCACATCCCCAGCCCTATTTTGTATTTTATTTGGAGACAGGCTCTCACTGAGTTGCTCAGCAGCTTGCTTTTGCTGAGGCTGGCTTTGAACTTGCAATCCTCCTGCTTCAGCCTCCTGAGCTGCTCTTTTGTTAATATTTTTTTTTTCCTTCCTGGTATCTTTTTTTTTTTTTTTTTTAGATACTTGGCCAGTGGACTGTGACATTTTGCAAACGTTATATATGGAAAGAAAAGATGCACACAGTTACCAGATTAAAACCATTCGTTTTTTTGTTTCATTTTTATTTATGAAGAAGATATAGATTATAAAGGGGTTTATCTTTAACCCAAAAAGAAAGAAGGGAATGATACATCCCCTTAACATATGTGTGCCTTTATGCCTGTCTTTTCCTTTTTGCCCCTCCTAACTTCCTACATTAAAGTATTAACTCATTGCTTTAGTTAAGTACTTATTTAGTTAAGAATGAACCTGGCCAATAAATATATAGATGCCAAAAAAATAGATGCTTCTATCTTTTTAAAAATTGGTTCTAATTATATATGACAATAGAATGCATTTTGACACATTTTACACAAATGGAACACAACTTCTTCCTCTGGCTGTACATGGTTCAGAATCACACAGGTACTGCAACCATACATTACATAGGGTAATAATGTCCATCTAATTCCACTATCCTTCCCATCCCCACCTCCTCTCCCCTTCCTTGACACCCCTTTGCACAATCCAAAGTTCTTTGTTTCTTTCCTACCCCTGTTCCCATTATGGATCAGCATCCACTTACCAGAGAAAACATTCGGCCTTTGGTTTTTGGTGTTTGGCTTATTTTGCTTAGCATGATATTTTCCAGCTCCTTCTATTTACTTGCAAATGGTGTAATTCCATTTTTTTAAAGGCTGAGTAATATTCCATTGTGTATATGTACCACATTTTCTTTATCCATTCATCCGTTGAAGGGCACCCAGGTTGGTTCCATAGTTTAGCTGTTGAGTTGAGCTGCTATAAACCCTGATGTGGCTGTGTCACTGTAGTATGCTGATTTTTAAGTCCTTCTATCTTTAAGAACCATATTTTAACTGGGAATACAAATGTAATTGCATATGACATCCTCCAGTCAATACCTAACTTTGAGCTACTCCACAATATACACATTTCAAAACATCATTTTGTAACCACAACTATGTACACATTTTGTCAATTGAAATGATAAGGGACTGGGAATATAGCTAAATGCTGTACACTTGCCTAGCATATGAGGCCCTGGGTTCAGTACTGGGGGAAAAAAAAGATAAGCATGTGTTTCATACTGGTTATCTTCTGTTTGCTTCTCCAGGTGACTTCACCCTTCTAACATCCTGCTCTATGCCCCAAAAGATAGTTCATGTAACATGTCAATTTGGCTAGGTCGAACCACAGTCCCCAGAATTTCTGCTGTGAGCTGCTAAGGGGAATTCCCTGAGGCAATAGCTCTTTTCTAGAAAACACACCTTCTTTGAATTATTCAATCAAAGGCTAACCTAGGTACTGCTGTGAAGGTATTTTGCAGTTGTAATTAAAGTCTCTAATCAGTTTCTGTTGAGTAAGTCAAAAGGCAGAGTTTGTTAGGGCCTGGCCTATTCCAATGGAAGCCCTTTAAAAGGAAGGCTAAGCCCCCTGAGAACAGAAACACAAAGCAGCAGGAAGAAAGGAGGAAGCCTTTCAACATCTCTCCATCTAGGGATCTTCACACTGTTGTGGCTGTTTGCTGACTGTTGGCCTGAGGTAGTGGTTGAGTCTGCAACTGCTCTGCCTTTCCCTGGACCTTCCTTCAATCTCTTCAGCTGCTTCTTGTGATCTTCCCTTCCTGATTGCCTGCCCCATGGACTTTGGACTTTCCAGCCAGCCTGACAATTGATTGGGTAAGGAAACTCCTTGTAATAACCCCCTACACACACACGCTCACACTCTCACACTCACACTCACAGAGAAGTGATTTGTGTATGTATTGGCTGTGTCTCCCATTGGTTCTGCTTCTCTGGTTGGATATCAACTACACACCTTGCTTGAGAGGCTCATTACTATAAATAAATTCCATGGGCTTCCTTGGTCTCTGATTTCTGGTGGTAGATTAGAGGAAGGAAAATGATTTTAGAGAGGATTTATCCCTATTTACTTATTGTCTTGCCCTGACACCTTTGCTGCAGGTTGCCACACACTAATTTGTGTACCTTGACCATGTCACACTGTCCCTGAGGTTTCCCTACATACACAACTTTCCCTCCTCATTGCTTTAGGCCTGGAAGTGGTCACCACCTCTCTGCAATGTTATTGGCCCCAAGGTAAGACAGGATGTCCTGTTCTCTATACCATGCTTTCAGGTTTGTTAATAACCCCTTTATTAAGTGTTTCTAAGATTATTGTGCTTTATCATGCTTCTTATTTCTTGCAAAAGCCTTAAAAGCTTATTTTAATTAGAGTTACTTACAGATAAAATAATAGAAGACATTGTATATTTTTAATAAACTTGGTGCAGGTGAATTTTTAAAGATGACATTTAAAACCTAGGAGACATTATGAGAAAAAATGGAAGGTTTGATCACATTAAAAATATCATGTGGCAAATACAGCATGGTATTGTCATGAAAACCAATGGAGTAGAAGACAGAGACAAATCCACATTGGTACATTCATAAGACCCTTGACAAAGGTGCCTAAAATGTACATTGGAGAAAAGATAACCTTTTTTACCAAATGTTGCTGGATATTCATAAGAATGAGGCTAGATCCTTATCTCTCACTCTGCACAAAAATCAACTCAAAGTGGATCAAAGACCTAGGAATGAGACCAGAAATAACTGCTAAAAGAAAACATAGGCTCAACACTCCAATATGTTGGCATAAACACCAACCTCCTTAATAAGACTACTAAAGCTCAATAAATGAAACCAATAATCACTGCATAAGATGGCTACAATTAAAAAGCTTCTGCACAGCAAAGGAAACAAAAGTGTGAAGAGTGAGCCTACACAGAATGGGAGAATGGGAGAAAATCTTGACCAGCTACTGTTCTGACAGGGAATTAGCATCCAGAATATAATAACTCAAAAAACTTAACCCCCTCAAAAACCCCAAATTACCCAATCAATAAATGGCCAAATAAACTAAATCCATTTCTCAAAAGAAGAAAAATGAAAATAGCCAACAAATGTGAAAAAAAATTATCAACACCTTTAGCAATCAGGAAAATTCATATCAAAATTACATTGAGATTCCATCTCATTTCAGTCAGCATGGTATTCCTCTAGAATACAAACAATAATAAAGGCTGGTGAGGATGTGGGGGGAAAGGTACACTCATACATTGCTGGCAGGCTGCAAATTCATACAACCACTTGGAAAGCAGTATGGAGATTCTTCCGAAAACGGGAATGAGTAGAGCATGGTGGTGCACACCTGTAATCCCAGAAACTCAGGAGGCTGAAGCAGGAGGATTGCAAGTTCAAGGTCGGCCTCAGGAATTTAATGAGGCCTTAAGAAGTTAGAAAGACCCTGTCTCAAAATAATTTTTTTTCTGGTATCTGAGATTGAACCCAGGGGTGTTTACCCACGAGCCACATCCCCAGACCTTTTTATATTTTATTTAGAGACAGGGTCTCACTAAATTGCTTAGGGCCTTGCTAAGTTACTGAGGCTGGCTTTGAACTCATTATCCTCCTGCTTCAGCCTCCCAAGCCACTGGGATTACAGGCATGCACCATTGCACCTGGCTCAAAATAAAAGTTTTTTTTTTTTTTTTTTTAAATGGGAATATGGCTCAATCATTATGTGCCCCTGGGTTCAATCCCTGGTAACCCCCCCCCCCCCAAAAAAAAAAAAAGACTAGGCATGGACCCACCATCTGACTCAGCTATCCCACTCCTTGGTATATGTCCAAAAGATCTAAAAATCAGCATACTATTTAGGGATGCAGCTACTTCAATGTTTAGAGCAGCGCAATTCACAATAGCCAAGTTAAAGAACCAGCCTAGGTGTCCCTGATAGGTTAATTGATAAAGAAAATGTGGTATATCTTGGATTTCTATTTTAAATTATCCACGGTGCAGAGATTCCGTTATTTCTGCACTATAAGTTCTTAGAGATGTGAAATAGCTCTCATCACAGCTCCACAAATAGAACACCAACAACAGAACTAATGAAACCATGAACATTTGGAAATTGGTTGAGGGAATTGAAATAGCTTATTTTGTTCTTAAAATAAGCCAGGAATTCAGAAGTTTCCCAAGAGATCAAGGTGTTAGTTAATACCTTTGCTAATTTTTTCATATTCTGTATAGTTTGTAAATAAAAACAAAGTGTTTGCTCTTATTTTTTTCTGATGTTCATTATCTTGTATTCATGTTTCAGTTGAGTAAATCAGATTATTTTCAATAATGTTTATCATATGCTTCTTACAAAAGCAATCACCTCAGTTTTATGATTTATAATGTAATTGATATATTTGTCATAATGTGATATATATATATATATATATCAGATTTTTGTTTAAAGAAAATGTGGTATAACTTGAATCTAATGTATGAAATATGATATGTCAAGAGCTTTGTAATGTTTTGAACAACCAATAAAAAAAAAATAAAATAAAATGTGGTATATATGCACAGTAGAGTTCTACTCACCCATAAAGAATAAAATTGCATCATTTGTTGGTAAATGGATGGAACTGGAGTATATATCATACTAAGTGAAATAAACCAGACTCAGAAAGTCAAGAGTCAAATGTTTTCTCTCATATTCAGAATCTAGAGACACAAATTTTTAATTGATTTTTTTAAAAAAAATTACAGTGGAATGCATTACAATTCTTATTACATGTACACAACACAATTTTTTCATAACTCTGGTTGTATATAAAGTATGTT